TGCCGGAGCCCGTGCCGGGGTTTGGGCGAGTCCAAGGCATTCTGGAAGCGGTGGAGAGGGTGGGTTTGGGGAGGTGTCAGGGGTTGAGGGGGCCAGTTGGAGGTTCTGGTGAGACTCCTGACAAGAGGCAATGAGAAAGTGGAAGTAGTGGGGAAGGCTGTGCTTCAGGCAGCAAGACTTGGTGATGGCTGGGATGGGAGTGACAAGCCCGAGTAAGGCCTTGGTCAGTCAAGTGAACAGGGGCACACACATGTCATAATGGCAAAGGACGAGTGTCGCATTGTCTTGAGTCACATGTTGCTTGAGATATCTAGTATTCTGAACCCCAAGGAATGATCGTCATCCTGAATCCTGCCACAGGTGTGGCAGACCTCACTCTGGGAGAGGTGGAGTGAGAAGAGTGACTGCTAAGGACAGAGTCCTGGGAAATGGGCATTTGAGGGAGAGGAAAGGAAGAAGGGCCCAGGAACCAACTGAGGATGGGGGGTGTCAGCAAGGCATGGGGAGAGACAAAGAAATGTTTCAAAAGGGCATGTTCCATGAAGCTGGAAGTGGTCAGAGAGGATCAGATGCCTTGGAGAGGCCAAGTCCACTGAGAGACCCTGTCGTTGGGGGCAGCAGTTTTGGGGTGTCAGAGAGCCGGAATCGGATTGGAAAACTGATAGAGGAGCAAAAGGTGACTGGGAGAGGGAAGATTGTAATTGTGGAAGATTAGTTGTGATAAAAAGTGGTGGTACCTTTATACAACAAAATACTACTCAGCCCTAAAAAAGAAGGATTAACTTTTGCAACAGCATGGATGAACCTGGAGAGCATTATGCTAAGTGAAATAAGCCAATCATAGAGAGACAAATACCATATGATCTCACGCATATGTGGACTCTAATGAACAAAATAAACTAACAAATAAAATAGTGGAATAAGCCAGTGAAATAAGCCAGTCAGGGAAAAACAAATACCATGTGATCTCATGCATATGTGGAATCTAATGAACAAAATAAACTAGCAAAATAGAAAAAGACTCATAGATACAGAGAACAGATTGACAGCTGTCAGAGGGGAGGGGTGTGGGGGGGCTGGGTGAAATAGGTAAAGGAATGAAGGGAGTCAACAAAAAAACAAACAAAAAAAATCACAGTTACAACAGCATGGTGATTACCAGAGGGAAAAGGAGATCGGGGGAGGTAGAAGGTGGTAGAGGGGAGATAAATATTGATGGAGGGAGACTTGACTTGGGGTGGTGAACACACAACACAATACACAGATGTTATATTATAGAATTGTACGCCTGAAAACGATATAGTTTTATTTACTGATGTCACCCCAATAAATTCAATTTTTAAGAAAAGAGAGACAAGACAGGCAAGCTCTTGAAGGGGGAAGTGGGCTGAGGAGCTTGGATGGGGCAGGACAGGAGACGCCGGCGTGCTCTTGGGCTTGCTGCTCGGCCGTCAGCCTTCCTGCACCCTGACAAGGAGCTGCGTCTGCTCTGTGTGCTCTGTGCCTTTTCCAGAGCTAATCGTTTCTAGAAGGAAAGTCCAGGGTAAGTGACTTTGGCCCTCAGGAGGCTCAGGTCAGTATTTTGGATCTAGGTTTTATGGAATCTGAGAGGATGAGGTCACTGAAGCATCTCAGCTGGTCCATCCAACCACTTGGAAGTTGAACTTGTATCTTGTCTTTTTTATTTTCAAGCATAAAACCTGCAAGACTCCAGAACTCCAGAGTTCAAAAGCTTGTTTTCTATGCTATCTATTGTAGCATTATATTTGAGATGGCCCAGGCTCCTCCCTTTTTTAAAGTGTTGTTTTCTTGTTATTTCTCAAGTGTAGGTTGGATTTGAAAATTAATCATCTTAGACAGTGGATTGAACCTCTGAAAATTATGTGGAGGAATCTTGCTCAAATATGCCCTGGGTGTTAGAAGTACTCTTTTAAGTACCCATATAACCTGCCAAATAAACATTTTTAATTGGAAAGTAATGTTTTCATTCCTTATTCTGTATCAAATATTTTACTTTGGATCAATGACTTTCTTGTAGAAACATTTCCAATTTGAATTTCTTAAGATGGCACCAATGACAGGAAAATCTACTTAGGTTTATCTCCGGTTTATGTAAAGTACAATTATCGTAAGCAGCCCATTTACAAATGGGTTGCATTTGGAAGTTTCATTTGAAGTAGTTTTTTTCTCTAATGTTTAAACTTTTAATTTTAAGGTAATTATAGATCCAAATGCAGCTGTAAGGAATAATACAGAAAGAGCCTGTGTGTCTTTTACCCATGTCCCCCCACTGTGGTAACATCTTGCAAAGCGATGAAGCGATGCCATTACAAGGATATCGGCATTGATACAGTCAATATAGGAGTGGAAGAGATCCAGAACAAGGGTCCCTCATGGTGCCCTTGATAGCCACTGCACCCCCATCCCTAACCTCTGATCACCACGAATACATTTTTCATTTTTACAATGTTGTCACTTGGGGAATGTAGAAATAGAATCATACAGCATCTCATCTCTTGGGATTAGCTTTCTTTTGCCCTGCATAAGTCCCTGGATATTAATGCAGATTTATGTGTGTGTATTAAAGTTCATTCCATATTATTCCATGGTACAGAGGCACTGCTATTTATTTAACCATTCCTCTATGGAAGGACATCTGAGTTGTTTCCAGGTTTGGTTTATTACGAATAAAACTACTATAAACATCTGTATTCAGGTTTTTGTAGTCTATTACAAATAAAACTACTCTGAACATTTGTATTCAGGTTTTTGTATGAAAATAAGCTTTCGTTTTTCTGGAAAAAATATCTGGAGTGCAACTGCTGGGTCATTTGGTAGTTTGGTTTGGCATGTTTAGCTTTCTAAGGAACTGCCAAACTGTTTCCGGGAGTTGCTCTGCCTTTTACATTCCCACCAGCAATGTGTGAGTGATCCTTGCCAGAATTTGGTGTTGTCACTATTTTTTATTATTACCATTCTGATAGGTGTGTCAGGATATCTCACTGTGGTTTTAATTTTCATTTCTCTAATGGCTAATGATGTTGAATGTACTTTTGTGTGCTTATTTGCCATCTGTGTATCTCTTTTAGTGAATTATCTCTTCACATCTTTTGCCCATTTTCAAATTGAACTGTTTGTGTTTTTTGCTGTTGAATATTGAGAGTTCTTCAATATTGTACATATTTGTCCATTTTCAAATATGTAATTTGCACGTAGTTTCTCTAACTCTGTAGTATGTTTTTTCATACTCTTAACAGAGTCTTTCGTGAAGCAGAAGTTTTCCATTTTCTTCTATTTTTTTCCTAAGGGTTTTGTAGTTTTATATTTTACATTTAATTTCATGGTCCTTGGTTAATTTTTGTTAAAGGTGTGAAGATTGGTTCAAGGCTATCTGTCTATCTATCTATCTATTTATTTTTGTCAGTGGATGTCCAATTGCTCCAGTTCCTATGGTTGAAAGGCACTTTTTGTCAAAAATCAGTTGGGTATATTTGTGTTGGTCTATTTATGGCTTTTCTAATCTACCATGATAGCTACACAGTAGACGTAAATATGGATAGGTTGATTACTCTCACTTTATTTCTCTTTTTTAAGATTGTTTTAGCTATTCTAAGGCCTGTGCCTCTGCATATAAATTTTAGAACAAGTTTGTCTAAATCTACCAAAAATCTTGCTGGGATGTCAGTAGAATTGTAATAAATCTATAGATATTTTTGGGGGAGAATCGACATCCTTATTATGCTGATTCTTCCAGTACATGAACACAGTATATGTCTCTTGATTTATTTAGATCTTCTTTGATGTCTTTTACCAGGATTATGTAATTTACAACATACAGGTCCTGTGTAACTTCATATCTAAATATTTTGTTTTCTTTGCAATGATTATAAATGGTATTGTGTCTTCAATTTTGGTTTCCACATGTTCATTGTTGTTATAAAATAGGAGTTATAGAGATATAAATGTAGTTTCTCTTAGAAATAAATATCATAAAAATATATGGTTACTGAATTAGCTCACAAAAGCCAGATTAAAATTCATAATAAAGCAGATATAATGAACAGTTACTAGAAAGAATACTAGATTGCCATGTTGTTACAATACTATTATTGAATAATAGCAAATGAGAAATAGTTAGTTACTTATCAAATATCTTGGAAATTTCTAGGTTTAGTCTAAGTTTAGTTCCCACTTTAATTTTAATTCATAATATATGGTTTTTCATTTTCATGGGGATACCATGAAATCTACTCTCATGCATATCGGGTCTGATTACTGTCATTTTTTGGAAAGAAGTGTGTATAATAAGTTTCCTGAGTGCGGCAGATAGCAGAAAAATTGAAGAGTGTATTTAAACAGGTTGCATAGGTAGAATTAACTGGGATTTGAATGAAGACAAGAAAGGCATATAAAACAGACACCTGAGAAGAATTATTCTGTTAGACTCTAATGCACTAACTTAGGCCCATGAGCCACAACTCTTAGGCATTGAAATTTATGTGTTTATTTTATGGCAATAAATCTTTTTTAAGGAAAATAATTGCATTGTTGCAGTAACAGTAATTCCTTTTCTCTTCTTACCTTTTCTTAAAAGACCCCATGGTCAACTGTTTGACATAGTTTTGATTTATCTTTATGCTGCTTTGCCCCAGGAGGAATTTCAACCAGGTTCTATAAATATATAAAACAAGACAAAATAACATTAAAAATTGATGAAAGGTAAAATTGATCAAAGGGAAGATAAGATGAGGACCAGGATGAAGATTAGGAAGCAGGAGTCACGCTGTGACATTTTATTCATCATCTTGAAATGGGTAAGAAATTTGGCTGAGACAAATTGCTTTTACCCCTTGCACAAAATAGTCTGGTGTTTAATTATTACAGCTGCCCAGGGGAGCTCCCGTCTTTTCCCTTGGTCTCAGCCCTGTCTCTTTAGGGGGAGGCGTTGTCCTGCAGGGTTAATTAATAACAGGACCTCAGATGCCACTTTGGGAGGCCTCTGCCGGCTGATGCAGCTGGCGGTCTGAGGAGGGACGCTCAGAGGCACACCACCCAGGCCCCATGGCATGAAGCACGGCTTTGGCTGTAGCCCAGGAGTCTGGCTTTGTGGTTTGTGCTGAAGTTAGGATGAACAATTGAGACCTTCTCTCATTCTTCCTAGCAACAGGGACACCTTCAACTGTAAGTATTTTTGTAAGCAGGGTTGTCATTTAGTTTTAATATCTAAAAAATGCTATAGTGTTTTAAGAAGTGGTTTGCTTGATAGTGTTTTTGATTTTTTTTCCTTGTTTCGTTTTTTGTTTGTTTGTTTGCTTGTTGTTGGTTAAGGTTAATTAGTTAAGATTCTTCTGGTTTTTGAGTTGAGCCACCTGAGATTGATCTGAGGATAGTTTCAGTTTGGAGCATTGTCTTTGGTTTTAAGACAGACTATTTGTATTGTTTTTGAGGAAGTGCTTCCAATACAATTCTTTGTTCTGATGACTCATTTTCTACAATTATTGGAAGTGGGAGGAAGTCCACATATATCTACACAGTTTTAAACTTATAACTAGACCTGTGCCATTCTATATGCTGTTTCATGTATATGTATATATATGTATGTTACTTTTTGAGTATTCAGCTTCTGAACTTTATCAATGTTATGCTGTGCTTTTTTCGTTTAACCCAGAAACTAGAGTTAGAGAAACAAGAGCCCTCTCCATTCTGCACCGTTGTTAGCCTGTTCAATAGAGACTGATGTTGCATTTTTTTTTATTTCTCTGTGTAAGGAGCTGAAAGACAATGTGAACAAACTCATTGCATTTGAGGTAGCTGCTGGCCAGGCCTGTTGCAACAGCTGATGGGCTCCTCTGAGTTCCAAGAGCTATTTTGGTAGATTAGCTGGGATCAAGGCTCTCCAGTTCAGGCCATAAAAGGCCCGTCCCCTGTGAGCTGCCCCACTGCTTCTGACCGCGTCCTTCCAGGCTGAAGTGTCCTCAGGTTTCACGTGGATTTACCCAGTAATGGATGGCCACACCAAGGCCAGATTGGGGAAGTTCAGCATCAGGGACACTGGGAGACTGACAACTTCCAAAAGAAGACTCTTTTTAATAATATTTTGGCGATCTTTTTTCAGAGAAACTTTGGGGATGTAGCCTTCACCTATGTACTGCAGTTGGCACCCACATGCCTCGTGGAGAGCACCGTTCTAAATTTATCCTGTTCTGAATCATCACTTCGAATAGATGCACTTGCCTGGTTTGCATTGTGATATTTGATTTGTATAGTGTTTTTTGGCCTAACTTTTGATATTTTACTTTTTGTTTAGAATTTGAAAGTAGTGTTCATTGAAAGGAGGAGACCCAAAGAAAATACTTAAGGACGCCCAAATCTGGATTCAAGGATATATCGTGTTTTGTTTTGTTCTTTTTAATTAGAAAAATAAGGAAGTAGAGTTTGATTTCCCCCCCTTTTAACGTAGAGGAACAAGGATTATACAGAAATTTGAAGTAAGTGAAAAATCTTTCTCTAAGTCTCAATGCAGTTGCTTTTCCGTGCCGTCTGCCTGAGCATGCTCCCAAAGCTTAGTTGACTTCAGGGAGTGCAGTGTTGTGCCAAGGGAGTGCTAGCTAATGAAAGCACTCCTCTAGACGCCGGAGGGCATGGTTTGGGGTTTTGGAATGATTGGGGTTTTTCCTTAAAAACAAAAGAACTTACTCTATAGTACTGAGAGATTTATACTAACAATTTGATTAATATGATTTAGTAACTACATTCTGTCTAAATGCTAGCACTTGAAGCCTTGGAATGAAAAGTGTGTTCACAATACAAAGTACCTCAGTGATGATATCTTAAGTATGGGGTGGAGGTCAGAAAGGCAAGAGTTACTGCATCCCTATTATTAATACATCTGGAAATACAAATAACCAGTGGGCCTTTTGTATAATCTTTGTTTTGAGTGTTCTTTACTTTCTTTATTCTGATTCTTCAGGCTTGATTTATAGAACCCCTAATGTTCCAGAATGTATTTTTTTTTTAAATCTTGCTTTAGTTTCTAGATTTTGAACTTTATTTTATTTCTAAATTATCCAAGGGAAAAATGCTTTTTAAGCCCTAGAGATAGCTGTGGACTCTTTGTAATTTAGTTTGGTGGTTTGATTCTGCTAAAAAAATAGCAATGGGCTCTAGGAGATTTATGCCTTATTTGACAAATTTCTCCTTTAAACGAAAGAAAAGATTATTTCTTTATACCAAATGATATGGACCAGTAGGAGCAGTAATTATTTTTATCAGGTAGAAAAACCGAATGATTATAGGAGTGAGCTTCATCAGTGAACACTGCTGTGGTTCTCAACCAGAGGTAGCGCCACAACTCTGGCAAGCATCGGAAATGCTTGGGGGTGCTTCTGGTTTTTCACAATAATATCCAGGGCTGGCATTTGGGGGAATGTGGTTAAGGATTGTAAACGCCCTGTAATATGGGGCAGTCACATAAGACAAAGCATTGCCCTGGCCAAAATTCCGGTGGGGTCCCCTACTGAGAAGAACTATAAGGCATAGATGTCCTCTCCCAACCCAGGAGAAGCAGCAGTGGGCTGGGCGCATTTTGGCTGCCTCTTCTCACCAAACCAGGAGAAACTTTGAGGAGCCAAGCAGCTGGGTGTCCTGCCAGGAGTGGATGATCCCTCACTCCTCTGAAGGGGAGAGGAGGTGAGGCAGATGAGCAAGAGAAAGTCCTCAGAAAAACGCGTTGTGGAGATAGTCTAACTGGTGCCAGGGGCATAATTTTAAAAGGAAAATTTGGTTAAAGCGCCCAGCTTACAGTACTTCATTCAGGGAAGCCAGATACCTTTGCTTTTCAGTTGAGCCGTACTGTTTCTTGGTAACCTCACCTCTGGAAGATTTTGCATTTCAATCAGAACTACTATCTTTGGCAATACCTGGGGTCATTAAAAATTCTACATTTGAGGGATGGTTTCCAAAGAAAAAGTAGTATTTTAGGTCAGGGGTTCACAAAGAGCTGTGGAGGTGAGCCACCAGGGGACTCTTTTTATTATTGAGATGCAGAGGAAGTCTCCTCCTCACCCAGGGCTGCCTGGGCTTTCTGGACACTCACCGCAACCCTACACTAATGCACACGTCTCAGGGGTCTCTCCTGACCAGGAGAATCCCCCATCGGGAGCTTTCCTGCTCCAGCTCTTCATGGTTTTGTAACTGAACCAGAAGCCATACCGTCACTTTGCTTCTTCTCCCTATTGGTCACCAGGGTGACTAAGTCTACTTCTGAAAAGATGCTTCTGCCTGCCACTTCCCCCTGAGCCGCCATGTCCCTTATCCAGATGACTGCATTGCCCTTAATTGGGGTTTTTTCCCCCCAGCTTCTCTGCTGCCCAGTCTGCCCTCAGAATGACCTTCCTACACAAAGATTTGAGCATGTTGCTCCACAAGAGCCAAATCCCTGTGGTTTCCCACTGATTAAAGGCTAAAGCACCACTCCTTAGCCTCCCTTTCAGGGTCTTTGATGCCACTGTTTTAGCTGGCTCCCCTCCCTGAAGTGTTTTGCCTTCCCTTGCTTGCCAGGTGGGGTTGGGGGCAGGGGTCATAACAGATGAAATCTTCCTAGAAGCTTCCTCTGACCTTCTGCCTCTGGGCTCCAAGGCCCTGATACTGTGTCCTGGTGATCCCATCCTCTGTAGGGGGTGCCCAAAGGGGCACCTGGGCCTCAGCCTTCTTGCCACCTGAAGATCTCCCCCAGTGCCCACTGCCCAGTGGGTGCTCCACACAAATGTCAGTTGATTGAATTGAATTGGGTTGGAATGACTTGTGGATTGTTCATATCAAAATTTAACTGTACTCCATAACATGCTTTTGCCAGTTTTATATATTATTTACTACAGAAGTGGGTGTTCTGTGTTATGAGTTATGTTTTTCCCCCATATCTAATAATGCAAGCAGAAACATTTGTCTTACTATTACAAGCCTGATGGGGTTTATATACGAGTGCTTTTGCCAACACAGGAAATTAAGGTACATTCGATGAAGTCAGCCACTTCATTATTGGAGCCTTGCCCAAAATGAAAGAACTCATCTAGTGGTGTGATATGACTTATGTACTTTTCCCAAGCACTAACTTTATCCTTTGGGTGAAACATCTGAGAGTGGCTTGCACTGCTGACCTGAGAGGGGAAGTCTTGCACCTTGATGTCTATTTGGAGAGAGTGCTGTCTCACTTGCTCATGGTCCTCCCTGTCATGGGAGGTTGGAAAGGACAATGTGGTTTGCCTCATAACTTGATTATTCTCTTCTGAAAGTTGATCCTTAAATCCCACACAAGTCCATAACCTATTTCTAATTGGCTTTTGTGTCATAGTCAAAGAAAGAGCTTTAATATTTGCTTTGAGATAGTTGATTTCCTCAGGTCGCAGCACTGGGTTCATTTCGGCAGGCTGAGCGCTCCCTGTCAGTGCTGCCCACCTACGTGCACGTCTCCAGGTCGGATGCTTTACAGTGAACACAACTGAAGTGTGTTTCCTGTCCTTGGTGAACTCATTCCCTGCGTGAGTTCAGACATAGACCTGACGAAGCTATTATGCAGTAGGCTGGAAGGGGTGAACAATAACAACGCGCCATCCATTATTATTGAATGCCGAGCTCAATGCCTATGTTGTCTTCTTTGATTTTCTACAGTGTCCCCTGAGAAATAGTACTAGCATCATTCCCATTCTACAGGGGGCAAAACTGAAGCTTAGAGAAGCTTTCCCAAGGGCACATGCCATGGGGTCATGGCAGATCTGGATTTGATCTCAGATCCATCTGATGTCACAGCCCACATTTATAACCACTGCTTTACACCAGTGCTTCTCAAACTTTCTAGGCATCACATGCAATCTTAATAATGTGCAGATTCTGATTGAATAGATCTGGGTAGGGCCAGATATCAGCAACCAAGCCCCAGTGATACCGATGCCTCTGGCCCGAGGCCCGACTTTGAGTAGCGCTGTCCTAAGTGACTCCCCTGTGGAACCAGCCAGTAGGGAGGAACCAGGTCAGATGGGGATTTGAAGAAGGCCTCTCAGGGGCAGAGGTGGCCTCCCAAGGTTGATCTGTTCCTCTGTGCTTCTCAGGCCATCCTTCCCTGCTCTGCCCACACAGTTGTTCTCCATTTCTCTTACTTCCAATTTCTGCCTTTCTCCTGGCTCTTCTTCCTCCTGTTGAAAACATGCTCAAGTTTCCTCCATCCTAAATAAAGCTCTCCTTGACCTCACACTATCACCTATTTCTTTCACTGCCCATTCACTCCTTAACATCCACAACTCAGTTGCCAGTGTTCTCCAAGACCTCCCAATTGCTTTGACCTCCCTGAGCTTTACAGCCGAGTGCCTCTTTGTAAGGACCCTGTCTCAGGTGTAGATGGCTGTGGGGGTTCTGTCCTCTGCACTGAATGTCCCCAGACTGCAGAGCAATCCTGTCGCCTTTATTTTCTAGACCATTGTCTCTTCACTTGCTCAACTCTCCCTCCTTGGGGTCCATGTTAAGATAAAAATTCTTGTGCTGCTTTTTATACTTCGAACTATATGTTCTGTCCATTTCAGATGGACTGTATTCATCTGGGCTTTATCACTTATTTTCTTCTTTAATTAGAAGTTGTTCACTTCTAATTAGCTATGTTAGGGTTTGCATCCTTATATAACCAGTATTAATGGAAGAATTATATATAAAAAAGAACAAGTAGTTTCTAAGCAAAGACCTAAAGGGCTTTTATAAACAATGCACCTATAATTTGTGGGCTGTGTTTTGATTAATTGGAGGTCTCTTGTTTCTTCCTGGATTTTCAATTACCTCCTGAGTATGGAAAGTTGGCAAATAATGTGAGCTCAGATATAAACTGTCATTAAACGGAAAATTGTATTAATATTTTTATATCTTTTAAGACTTTGAATACTTTAAATATTTTAGGCCCTAGTCTTTTCATACTTTCTGAAAATATTATATCTAATTTTATCCCATTTAAACCAAAATTTTGAAATATACACACATTGTACACACTCAACAAGAATAAACAAGCCACTCCAGCCAAAAACTCAATTAGGAAAGCAGATGATTTTCAGTAATGAAAATATGTTAAATTGAGAAGTAGGTGGATTATGAAAGGTAAAATAATCTTTGGAAGTTTTTAATACTGTTTTTATATACAGATTTTCTTAGGAAAAAAATTTTTTTTTATTTTACCATGTACTAGGATGGCCACAAAGTTCATCTACATTTATGTATTTTGCAATTAGTTCATTCCTTTAACAGTTCCTATTATGAAACCCACGTACAAATTACATTTTAACATCTATTACCTTTTTTTATGTGCAAGTATTGCTTTGGGTACCTAATGCAGCTAATGGCTGTCTAGGTTTGAGCCAGGTTGGAGAAAAAACTGTGGGCATGTTAAGGTGTATGGCTCTCCAAATTATGCTCATAGTCCTCATTTCCACCAGATGTTCATTTTATCCACACACAC